TGCGGGGCCGGCCCGGTATTGCACCACCTTCGCGGGCGGGGCTTCATCCTTGTGCCCCGGTTCCTTCTCTAGCCCCATGGGGAGATCCCCAAGGCCCGCGAGTCTCCGGGGAGATGGAAGCTGCTCCCTTTCCCAGAGGTCGGGAGAGAGATCCCCCAACCCCTAGCGGGCAGGAACGGGGCTCGCAGCAGTCCCTCCTTCTAAGCAACATTACGTCCGCCTTCACCAGCAGATACCAAAAGTCAGGTAGTAGGATACTGCCCCTAATTTGGCCCACGACAGTCAACAGAGAGGTTCTTCTCACCGCTGTCCCTTAGGGGCGCCAAGGGGTTTTCCCCATCGGAGCTAGAAAGATTAGGGGCAAAAAAAAAAAAAAAAAGGTAGAATAAAAAAGGCATATGCCTCCTCTCTCATTTCCCCCTTCCTCTAGCTCAGGGGTCTTTAAGCCAGAGTTCATGATGATTTCAGAAAATTCCAGAGAACTCCCCTGACCTAGAATGAAAAATGTTGTGTGTGTGCATTTGGGTGGCTGGAGGGGAAGCCCATGCTTGCCTTCAGGATGAAAGGTGTGACCTTACTCCCAAAACATTAAGAACCCCAGCTTCAGGGCTAGTCAAAAACTAGGAAGGTGACCCTCCACCTTCCCTCACAGGAGTCAAGAGCTTCAATCAGGTGCTCTCTCCCCACCCCCAGAGGCCTCTCAGGGCCTCTGTGACCTAGGTTGGAAAAGTGGGCTCTCTCAGATGTGGGGTGCTCAGGTGGACTCTGGGCACCCAGCACTCTCCCTCCCACCCAAGATGCCAGAAAACCCTAACCCAGCCATTTCCCAAAGGACCCACCTATCCAGTGAGATCTGGAATCTTGCACATTTTTTCTCAGCTTTCCAAAGTGTGCTTCTGGTCATTCTCATATTTAATTCTCACAGGCACACATACGTGTGAAGGCCCTCTTACAGCCTTCTCAGTAGCCAGGGCGAGCCTTTGACAGGGAATTCTGATCTTGTTACCCTTGCTTAAAACTCTGCAGTGACAGTCCCCTTTCCAGTCCCCGTGACCCCTGCACACCCTGATCCCCATCTGGTGCTGCTCCCCACCTCACTCAGGCTCCAATTTCTTTGGCCCTCCCTCTGTTCCTCAGATTCTCCAAGTTTCTCCTTCCCTCAAGACCTTTATAGCGCTGTTCCCTCTATCTTGAACATTCTTTCTTCATCTCTACTTCTTCCATACCCAGCTCCTGCTTCAGATGTGGGCTTAAATGTCATCTCTTCAAATGTCCCAACTGCCTTAAACAGACCCCCCAAATTCTCAATTACTGCAACCCATTTTCCCCTTTATAGTATTTATTGCAGTCTGTTACTCATTTATGTATTTTGGTTTTTCCTTCCATCTCCCTCCCTCTCCTCAGAACTGTGAGCTTACTCTGGGCTGGGCCCTGACTGCCCATCACTCTGCATACTGTACATGCTCAATAAACTTAAAATGAGTGATGGAACAAATGGAAGGGAAGTGAAAATTACTCTGGGGAAGTGCCTTTAAATCCTTGTGCATCTAATTTTGCAACGTCCAGAGACAAAGGAAACATGTCAAAGGAGTTGGGGAGGCAGGGTACGTGGGGAGAATTTAAATTCTGGGGTCTTCTCCCATTGGGTGTAGGAGTTCCCATTAGCCACCCGAGAGAGAGAAAGGGCTCCCAGGCCGCTTCACTTCACCCTGGGTTAGAACTGGGCTTTTTTGAAAACCAGGACTCTGGGCTACACTAAATAACCAGTGTAAACCGCCCAAGCAAGAGACCCTTGAAAAAGAAATTCAAGTCACCAAACATCATGCCTGCCTGGCGCAGCAGTTCCTATGTCCTGGGCACTTAGGGGTATGAGGTATTCATCTGTTCTTTTACACCAGTCATCTCATGTAAGCCTCTGGCCCTTCCCTCTGAAGCAGGTATCAACAGCTCCCCCCCACCCGAAACTGAGGCTGGGGAAGTAACTGGCACAGGGGCAGTGAAGCAATGCCTCTTTCCGTCTCATCTCAGAGATCACCCCTTTTGGGAAGCTCCGCTGACCTCAGGTGGCATCTGGTCCCCTGCTGTGTGTTCTCCCAAAGCCCCCCATCCCTTGTCTCCTTCTATTAAACACCCAGCACCTTAAATGGGAGAACCCTGAGGGCAGGGGCTGTGTCTCGGCAGGCCCTACACCCCCAAAGGCCTAGTCTGAGGCTGGAGCCTCCGGAGGCATTAAAGCGAAGGTGAGAGGCAAGGGAGGAGGCTGGCGGCCCATCCCAGGGGCCGAGGCCGCCTGTCCAGGGACAGATGAGGAGGGAAGCTCACATACCTCCCAAGCAGAAATCCACGAAGATGGAGAGCTGTTTATTTTTCAGCACACTCTGCCTGCTGGCGGAGTGAAACTGAACCCACTTCAGATGTGGGAACGGCTTAGCCAGCTCTGCTCCGCTCCTTGGGGAGCACAGGAGGCCCCAATCAGCCAGTGACATTCCAGCTACACCGGCAGCCCTATCTCTGTAACCGCCCAGAGCCAGGCGGGGCCTTCCATTCAATGTCTTGTTGGATCCCCACACCCACCAAAAGCCTCAGCCTCAGCAGGTGTCACTTCCCTTTCACAGGAGAAGTGGGAGGGGACGAGGGGCTGGGCAGACCAAACGTATCTCTCCTGACCCCTGTGAGGTGGGAGTCATCACCTGTACTTTACAAATGAGAAGACTGAGGATTAGGGAGGCAGCAGCCATGCCCTCTCCCCGGCTCCCGGTCACCTGGCTAGAGAGGGAGAGGGCCAGATGTGAATCCTAGCTGTCTGACCTCCCCATGCTACCTCCAGAGGACCCCAGCTGCTCGGCCAGTAAGTGGCAGGGCTGGGCCTAGAACCTGGGTCCTGGCCTCCTGGTCCCATGCTCTTTGTGGAGGGGGAGCTGCTTCTTCAGGTAGGGACGTCATGGAGTCCAGGGGCCCTGACTGGCAGGGCGGCCAGCGCTATTCTCCCATATTGCCTCATTTGTGGTTGTGGGGACACCTGCGGCCAGCGAGCTTCAGGAAAAGGGAAGAACAGCTATTGTTTTGTGGGGAGTCTCTGATCTGCTCATTCCTCCCCCTGCCTCCCTGAGCCGTGGACAAGAAATCTGGGCCTGGTGTTCATGAGAATGGCTTGTCAGAGACCAAGAATAGAGAAGTAGGAACCACAGTCAGTCCCCAGTTTCCCAGCTGCACAGAGAAGGTGACGAAAGCCAGATGAGAGTGTGATGGTGCCCAGCTCTGGAAACCCCACCCTGTGGAAATCAAAGACCCGGGGTGGACAGAAATGAGAAGTATTATAAACACTCATGTGTTTCCGATGACAAAGGCCTCTGGCCCAGTGGCACCGGGCATGACCCCACGGGGCATCTGCCCTGACTGCGTTAATCGCTCAGATGCCTCTTGTGGTTGGTTTGCCCAAAGGGAGGATCTTCAAAGGAATGTAGGAGCCTGTCAGAGGCAAAAAAAAGAGCAGCTGTAACAAATAAATGATTAGTAAATCTGAAAGAGATGAGTATCCATTGTACTACTCTTTCCATTTTTCCTGTAGGTTTTCAATTTTTCAAAATACAGAGTTGAAAATATTTACAATCATTTGAAATTCAAAATATATACCTATCTATTAAAAGTGAATAATTTTCTTTTATTCTGATTCAGTTTAAAATACATATCTGAAATATATCTTTAATACATTACCCTGATTTTAAAATGAAACAAAAAAAGAGCAGCTGTAAGAAATTTGGTGAAATTTGGAGGCTTGGGACCCCTTGACCACACCCTCTGAGCCATTTTTACATTCTATTTCTCAGCCTTAGTCTTTAGAGATGCGGCCCTTTGTGGCCAAAGACCACATCAATTCTTGCTTCTCATGCCAGCAATTAGCTGGGATCTGTTAAATCCTTACATATCACCCAGTACACCCTCATGCTATATGTTAAACACTTATATTTAACAAACACAACAAGAGAGTGAGTAAAAGCTCTAGTTCTAAACCTCAGTTCAGACTCCCACTATGCCACTTCCCAGCTGTGTGGCCTCAGCTGTCTCATCCGTAAAATGGGGATGATAATAATAGCATCTCCCCTACAGGACTGTTGTGACACTGAAATGAGTGATATAAAGTGCTTAGAACAGTGCTGTGCACACAGCATGCACCCACTGTTAGCTGCTATTATTTGTATCATCATCACTTATAAAACACAAGGTTCAAAAGCCTCCAATTGATCCCCACTGCCTAAAGAACAAAATCCAAATTCCTTAGCCTGACATTCAAGGACTCCCTCAACTGGCCCCAACCTACCACTCCTGGCTCACCCTCCACATAC